CGAGACCGTGCGTCTACCCTCCTCGGCCAGACGGAGGTCAGTCAGGGTCCTGCTCTTAGACAGGACACTCCGAGAGAGTATCTCTTCCTGCGGATCCAACGCCGGACAGCTGTCAGCTCGCCCCGCTGCCGTTGCACGCTCGCCGCCGCTTCTTCCTTCGCCCTCTTCGAGAACCGCCGGATCCTCCGAGGTCCCGCCGATCCCGCGAGTCCGTCAGACCCGCTAATTGTCCTGGCCTGCTTCGGGGACACAGAGGATAGAGAGGTGCGAAGAAATAATCACCTCACACCTCGATCACCTCCGGAGCAACGAACCGAACGGGTTTTCGACACGTGCGCCAGGACCAAGGTTGCCCGCGACCTTGGCTCCAACCACGTGGAGAAACGCACGAGATTCGACTCGAGCGAGGACACTTCTCGGAGGTTCGATCCTCGGCTGGCTTTCGGAGTTCGGACAGTAGCGGCTGTGTAATCTGCGTCGGTTGTGATAAGAAATCTGTGCGCGTGCTCGACGTTGGTAGGACACTTGCGGATCTAGTGCCGGCAACGGGACTTACGGTGCGGTTAAGGTTCCTCTCCATGAGCTGTCGCAAGATTTAAGGATTCAGTCGATCTACCAGTTGAACGCAATGTGCGGTGAGTTACCTGGGATTTTTGCTTTTGCTTGGGATTGGAATTGGGGTGGTTTCGAACGAGGGGTACATGCTGGGAGGACGAATGATGGGAATTGCGACAGAGGTTTTGGTTTTCATTTTTGGTCTTGAACGTGTGTTTGAAGGTTGAATTTTAGGGGAATATTTCCAGTTTTGATAATTGTAAGGTTGAAGGTTTACTGAAAGGAGATTCATAGTTTATAGGCTTTTGTTTTCAAAGGTTACTTCAGTTACAATGCGATAGAAGAAGCTTCTTGGTTTTAGCTAAGATTTCGATTGGTACCACCTGCAAGCTAACTGCGTCGAGTTTAATAAATTTTTCACTTATTTGTTCAGTAAGAGAATAATTGTAAAGCTTTACTTCTGTATAGAATGTTTGAATTTTTGATATCTACCTACAATTTAGTTGCTGATCGGACTCAAAAGAAAGTTTACATTCATTTCCTAAACGAATCTGTTGCAAAGATGTTCATTAGAGAACAAATGATATATTTACAATCACAAATTTGACGCCATCTGATAAACGTCTCATAATCTACCTAAAAATTCAATCTAAATTCTATTTCAAAAATATTCTGAAATCCATGCTACTCGTTCTACTCGAGAAATCTTTATTTCAAACAGAAACTAAAACCAATGACGCCACCGGTAAGACTTTCACAACATCGAAGTGAAATAAGTTACAATTCTGTTCTGTTCTTTAGCACTCTATCTATGTTCGCATTTGCATAACCACTATTTGCGTACTGGTATTCATAACGAAAGGGAAAAAAAGAAAAGAAAAGCAGGACATTCAAAAGTGCGCCGGTTTCGCGCAACTCGTCGACTCCTGTTGTGCCGCGCCTCCCCGAAAACGGTACCAAGCATCGATCGAAATTTCCTGTTCGATCAGCTCGTGCGGAAGGTGTTCGGAGAGTCTGTTCCGCGGTTTCAGATTTTAACGGACAGCTGTCCCCGTTATCGACGAGAAATCTTTGGAACGTTGCGTTCGCCGGAAGACGACTGACAGTCATTTGTGTCGACACTTGTTTACACATTTTTTAATCGACCGTTCGCCGCCGCGTCCTCTCCGGCCGGCCGGTTCGGAACGTCTCTCGCATACCGCTTCCATAATTAACTGACATACAACGTGTGTCGTTGGATCAATATTAAAATCTCTCCGTTATTTCAAAACATTGATACCACATGAATTTATACTCGGTGCCTCGAACGAGGCTAATCTAAGTAACTGCAGAAGCGTACGATATTTCGATATTTCGATACTCGGTTTATCTTTCGTTCGGAAGCGACTGATTTACCATGGAAATATTAGTTCCTTCGAAATTTCTATGAAGTTCTGATGCTTACAATATAATTATTCCCTCTGTATCGAAATATGTGAGAAAACTATTAAGAAATTTGAAAAATAAGGTATGATTCTCCAAAATTTATTGTGTAAAGAACGTTGACGTTTCGCTTCGAATGAAATTAATCCAAGTTTTCCAATGTTCCGGTTAGCGTTCACTCGAACGCGTCTTCGTACGCGAAACGGCGAGAAGGCGAAGCGAGGAAAAAAAAATGGAAACAGCAATATTTCGCATAACAAATGCGAACGACGTTAAACCCGGCGATAAATAACGGTCGGTGATTGACATCAAACTCGGGCATTATGTTCCGCTATCTATGCTAAGCGGGTATACCGACTTACACGTATATTTTACGTGGCCGTGTTTGCAAATCGCATTACAGATTTATTCAAACATCGGGCCACGATTATTGGCCACGTACTTACTTACGCGCATGCATATGCGCAAGTACGCTCGTTATTCGTTATCTGTTGCCAGAAAGCCTTCGGCGCGACTATTTGCATTTTTCCTAGCAACATTGGGTCGCGTTAATCACCAAACCGGACAGAACTGAAACCTATAACTAGACTGCGGATCTTTATGCAAATTCGAATTTTCAAGAATGTAATTAGAAAAGCAGAATTACAATGAAAATGGTTTTTCCTGAGAAATGTTACGAAAAGCACTACGCTTTCGATATTTTCTATATTTCGTGTCGCGGGCATTCTATGAAACGTACTTCCAAATTTCCCTTAAACGCAGAGAAATCCAGTCTAACCATAACGTCGCATAACTGTTAGCACTGTTAATTTCAATTTTATTACAATCTCGCCTCTCGATTTCGAGATTTTGAATTAGTCTAATCTCAATACTGAAATACTTGTCGAAACGCAAGCGAATGCCGTGCCGTTTGTAATTAAAGTTTAGCACCGTTGATTTCAATTTTATCATTATATTCGTTCCATGGATTTATGACAAATACGAGTGCATAGAATATCAAGAAATGGATTCATAATTTAAGAATACTATTATTTCATTCTTGAATTTATTATTCTTAAAGGAAATCAGTTTCTATTTTCCGCTTGATCTTTGTACGCCGAAATCTGTTCGTGGAAATGCTGGTTTTGCATTAAATATCCGCCGTCCGTTGATAACTCATTAAATTATATTTATTCCAACGAAGCCCAGCGAACAATTACACCTGTTCCAACGTAGCACGATCAGATGAAACCCGATGTGCCTTGGACGAGCGCACGCGCGCGTGTTTTACGATACAGGCGTATATATAATTCACAGTGTTACTGTCCGCGGGACAGGGGAAACCGCGTTTGTGATTTTTTCTATAAATCTGATAGCTGCGACTATCTGTGACTCGCTGGAATAATGTATAAACCGACGCTCGATTTTAAATACAAAACACCCTGGTGCAGATTGTAATCTGTGTCGCTCGAAAATGTTTGATCATGCTCGTTATAGTCCAGAGAGAGAAAAACGTTAGAAATATCGAAGTTTATTATTCGACGATTGTTAATTGTATGTTTTGTTTATTCGAATTCATTTGTTACATTCTAGAATGTTCGAAAGTTGAAACTATCATTCTTAAGTTTCATAATATATAATTATTTCACGTATAAATTTTTAATATTTTAATTTGAATTAGTATTTATTAATCCCAATATTTTATTTATGAAAAATTTAATAAATTTATTTATAGTAATTATTTAATAATTATTATTTAAGTAAAAATTTACACCTATAGAGGGATGAAGATTTTTTAGTAGGGGTATATATTCGTTTGATTCCTTACTTTAACATTTTTGTCAACGATTGCCAAGGAAATTTGATTGTTTAACATTTAGTGAATGAAGAATTGTATTTCTAGTATGCTTAGTCTAAAGAAGAAGTACTTAAACAACAATGTTGAGTGGAGTTTGAATATCTTGGAATATTGAGGGTAAGGGTAATGTTTTTGCATTGTATAGCCTTCTATTTTTACGCAAATAATTACTTTGTGCGCTCTGAATATGTAAGTACTTATTTCCGTCTGCCACAACTATCGAGGGTCATCCATTTCAATTATTCTGAATCAATATCGAGAAAATATTAAGAGAAGTAGATGAGTATTCACGAGAAAGGAGAAAAGTAAAGATTGAAATTGAAGAGGATTTCGTGACATTAGAACTGAAATAAGAACATTGTTGCTAAACAGCAAATGCTGTAATCTTGTAGCAAGTAAAACCTTAAACGATGGAAATAATGTTTATGCATTGTTATGAATTAGACTTTGAAAACACGTTGGTGGGCATTTGCATAAGTATGCGTAGCCTGTGTATACTTACCAGATACCTTATCGTTAATAATTAGCCAAATGAAAAAGTGATTCTACGTGTTAAACCTTGATACACCCACTTATCTGTGTAATAAGAGAAACCAAACTACTTTATGATTTATAATGAAATATTCCATTTCATCGGTACAATAATGTACCATTCGTACGATCATTCTTATTAGATTCTAGTTAATACTTTCACTGTCTAATGCAATATTGTAACCTAGGGTGTTAAAACTATTTTTCTATTCAAATTTGGCAACTCACCCCTATTACCACATTGACTTGATAAAATTCTACTAAACATCTTCATTGTCTAACACAATATTACAACCTAAGGGATTAAAATGATTTTTTCCTTTAAAATTCGGTAATCAACCCCTATTACCTACATTAACTTCAAATTCTACTGAACATCTTCATTGTCTAACACAATATTACAACCTGAGGGATTAAAGTGACTTTTTCCTTTAAAATTCGATAATCAACCCCTATTACCTACATTAACCTCAAATTCTACTCAACATCTCCACTGTCTAACGCTATATTACAACCTAAGGGATTAAACTAACTTTTTCCTTTAAAATTCGCTAATCAACCCCTATTACCTACATTAACCTCAAATTATACTCAACATCTTCACTGTCTAACGCAACATTACAACCTAACGGGTTACAATTATTTTTCCCTTGAAATTTAACAACCCACCCCTATACAATGAAGCACAGTATATATATTAGTGGTGGTTTTGTGTGATTAGAAGCGGTGCCGCGGACTTGGTACGTGAAACCAGAACTTCACTGTACCGGAGTCGGAGTTCCGGCGGGCGCGTTGTCACCCCCTGCTACACTTTCGCCGCCTATCAGCCCCAGCGTGACACTGCCGCCCTCGCCTTGGAGCCCCGGCGCGACAGGAAACGGCACGAACACCGCGACGTCCTCGAATCCTTCTTCGATCTGCTCGCCTGGTATCAATCAGCCGGCATCGGACCGATTCAGTGCTTTCACTCTCGTCTCGACGTACAACCCGGAGTCGAGACTTCAAACCCTGCCGCCGACAACCACCACCGCGACAAGAGGTAACGTAATTACATACCACGAACTGCCGTTAACACGTCGACAGCCATGGTGGTTACCGATCACCGGATCTTCCGAAATGCTTGAAGACGATCTCACGAAGGAAACTGATGTCGTATCAAAGTATCCGATAACACGAATAACTAAATAACAGTGTAACTCGAGAACTATGATAAGAAACCATTAACCCTTTGATTTCAATTTAAATCACCACTTGATTTAATACAGCAAAAGTATGAAGTCGAATATTTAGTATTTTAAATGAAACTTTGTGTTGCTGTTTTATTACATCTGCTCGAATTAACGAAGACTAGAGATATACGAATAAAGTGTTTAGAATAAAGCGAAATTTGTTGGGTTTTCAGAGCTACGGTGCGGTCTAATGTACGGGGGCTATGGTTCGACGGGGGCTACCTGGTGGGCTCGGCATGTCAGTCTCCTGCTACCCCATTCTCTGCTTCCACCGCCGAGAATTCCCACCCAGCAAACCACTCCAGTTACAAATTCTTCGCCTACCATTCATCTGGAACCCCTCAGCCCGTCCAGACCTGGTTCACCCCGGGGATGCACGCCGGAGAAAGCTAAATTCGGTAAGACGTCAATTATCGTGAACATCATTAAGTGCATTGGACACATAAATGTCGACACGATTACCAAGAAAAATTTTTTAACCTGTTAACTGTGGAATTTAGTTTGAAAATCTTTCGTTTTCGAAATAAAATCAAAAAATGAAGTGCGCACTCGTCAAACACAAGATGAGTTAGGGTATATTTTAATGAGAAATCAAAGCAAAGAAGAATTACATGTTTAACTGAAAAAATGAATAACTCATCGTTGAAAGAGTTATATATTATTAATATATTCACTCTTTACGGTTGAGAGGCGACTTAGTCATCATTTGATGTAGTGAAATTACAATGTTCGATATTCGATAGCGAAGTTCGTATAATGTAATTGTAAATTAAATGTTGAAGTAGTAGTTAGAAAAGTGCCATTAATATTTCATTAGAAAATAACGAATATGTCTGACGAAAAAAGGGAAAGGATTGAAGCATATTCACTTGATAAATAATTGTAGTAAACTAAAAGTAAATTGTAACGAATAAACTAACGTAAACTAATGAATAATCACTTATCCTAGTGAAAGTATTAGAGCAACATTGAACTATTCGTTATGTACGTACACGTGTTACTTAATCTTTTCTATTAATATTTATCTGCGCTTAATGCGTACACGATAATATTTACTTTAACTCGATTTATAATTCAAATTAAGCTAAATACACGATGACGCTTCGGATATACTATCGTTCGCATACTCGCGTTGAATAATCTCGTTTCGCTGGTAATTCGCCGGCGCCTGATAATCACCGGCCAAGTTGAATGCGTATCAGTGCGAGCAAGAAAACCGTAATTTCAAAAACAACCATTTTATATCAATTCCGCGACGCAACTTTTCGATTTCATATGCAGCGATTTCGCGGCGAACCTTTTTATGCATCATCTACGACAAGAAATTGCGTTTGTATTTTGATAACAAAATACCTGTGGCACATGCGTGTGTGTTCATGAAAATCACAAGTGAGTTAGTATAGGTGCTCATTCCTGATTGTTCCAAGGAAAATGGAACAATAAACAAAATTTTGCTGCATCTAATAATTTCTAACCTGGATTCATAAAAGAATTCTGTACTGTGATCGTTAAAATTGATCTGTTTCAATAGTAAACTTTATTTTTGTAGGCAAAGATCGTTTTAGAACTGAAAGTAATTAAAAGTGTGTTAATGCAATATCTATTGACTCTTAACCTTTTGCCCTCAAGAGACAACTTTTAGTCGCCGTTCGATGCAACATAAAATTATAAAATTTCAAAACCAACATTACATTTTGTACAACGCATCAATGCAATAAAACATCGAAATCAAACAGATCTATTTCTTATCGTTAGCGCAAGTAAGATTTTTCTTTATACTAGTCATAAAAAACGTCGGTGATGTTTCATCAGAAAATAATGAATATTTCTAACGAAAAGTATTGTTATTGATTGAAATTAAATGTACGCGTTTTTAGATTTATCTTCGAAAAATCTAAGCGAACGGAGGCACACGGAGAAAATGTTTTTACGTTTCAGAAGAAGAAGCGCCGTTGAATCTGAGCACGAAACCCAGCGACGTTTCGTCGAGCACGGAACGCAAAAGCAAAATCTGGTCGCCGGGAACGGTTTGCGAGAGAGAGGCGAAGGAGACCAGGGTGCCATCATCGAGAAGTCCTTCCGTGACACCTGTAGTTACCCGGCAGATGCATCACCACTCGCCACTTACGCCACCCTCCTCGTCGGAAAGAACTTTCCAGGTAAGTGTTCGAAAATTAGATGTTTAGTTATATCTCATTAGATCTTCCTTTAACTATCTTCGGAGATTTTTCGAATTGTTAACCGTTCGAGTGCCAAGCGGCGCGATCTATCGGTTCGTAGAATCAAATTAACTTTATTTATTTGTCTCCCTTTTAATCATTTATTTCGATCTTCATTATTACCTGCTCGGAAATGGAAAAATGAAACGATCGCGCTGTTTACAAGCTTCTCGTGTAAAAATAGAAGAGCGTCATTCAGTTTCTGCACTGAATCGAAAGAAGCGCGACCCTTGGCACTCGAATTGTTGACACTTGCATGAGAAGACAAATGGAAATGGAAATGGATAAAATTGTAGAATACTAGAAAAGAAAACGATAGATTGATCTTTTAATTGCAAGGAAAAAAGGATAGATTGATCTTTTAATCACAAGGAAAAAACAGTGCATTGTTGTCAATATAACGACAGTCGTCGTCAAAGGGTTAGTTAATTAACGTTGGTCAAGATTCAACCAACACTTGGCCTAACTTGCTTAAAAATCGATTCTTAGTTCTCGTCGATAATCAAAGTTGATTCGATTAGAAACTTTTGTTCTTTATTTCCCTACAAATCGAATAACTACAATTCAATCAGATTTAATTCTTTATCAATTTGATAACAAAGAAATGAATTCTTCAAAAAAGGAGAAACAACGATAAGATAAGGAGAACACGTAGAATTTTACGGTAAAATAGAGCGAAGCAGTGAAGTAGCAAGTCGGTGAATTGTTTTTCGGGGAACGCCATATGGATATCTCTCCGGGAAATCTTGACCGATCACATCGACCAACCGTCTAAAATAAATATCCAGGATTTGTGCCTTTCCGTTCGTTTCGTTACTTTACGAGTTTCGCGAGCACTAGTTTCGTATTCATTTCCGGTTCAACACCTCTGAACTAGTAGTCTGTGACCGTAATAAATAAATAAATTCGAAGCCACGCACTCGGGCGCTAACTCCGATTTAAGAGGTCATTCTAGATTTTCTTTCTTGGTGAAATTTTCTGAGAATTAGTCGATACGCAATGTGTTGGCAAAACAGAACCTAAAACTCGTCTTTCATACATCTCGTACATCCAAGAAAATCAGGTTCGTTCGATAGGCCACCAAGAAAATGCAGTCAAAATGTTAACATTATAACTACTAAGCATTTATTTGGGTTGATATATAATCCTGATAAGGGATTTGCTGTGACAATGTGTCTCTTTACGATTTTTTCAAACACTCGTTTAATCTTTAGTAGGCTGCGTTACCCTATGATTTCTTTCTCAACCCTAATCGATCCGCTTACTTTGTCATTGATAATTTGGAAAAGGAGAAAAACTGTAGATATATTCTGTGTTAAATCATGTTGAAAATCTTCACTGACACATTGTTACAAGACAAGGAGTTAGTAAATACACCCGGAAACCGAGAAAGACAGAGTATACTCGACCGACCGCAACGTGTCAAGGGGGTGGCAAAAGGCCCCGGCGGTCTCGTCTCGCGGAAAGAGCGGAATTCTCTCCGTGGGACCCGGCGAGTCCCATAGCGCCTCGTGCATTTGCATACGCAGAGGTGAAATCCTCCGGAGTCACGCGATGCCGGGCGTGCAACTCGGTGGCGCAAGTGCCCTAAAGTGTACCGCGGCGGAGCGTCGGAGAAGAAGGGGGTCAAGCGTTTGACGAATGTCGGAACTCGACAAAAGGCGGCGGTGCAATTACGGCTGATTGAATGGAAGTAGAAACTTGCCCGGCCGCAGTTTTACGCGCGACACGTAACAGCCAGTGGACATATTAGGATATCTGGGGCACACGCGCGTCATACGCGATCCTGATTCCGGCCGACAAAAGCTCTGCCAACCCCCTTCCTCCCGGCTCCCCCCTGTCCGGGAACCAGGAGAGACCCCTCCACGTCCCCTTCCGCCGGTCCCACGAAATCGTTATCGGTCCGGCTCGATCCGAACCGACACTGGATCACGGAAACTGGGCAATCGCCACTTCGCAGCGTTTTCTGCGCGTGAAAGTGATACCGCGCCGATCGTTCGTCGTTTCCTGGGATTCTCGTGTGAAAGTCGGGCCTTTGTTGCCTCGCTTCGGTTATTTAGGAGATTCGTAGCTGCCGGATATTCTTTGGGGATTTAAACTGTTAACGGTTCATTTACTGGATCTTTGTTCAGTGGATTTTTGATTACGAGTGACTGGGAATTGGTAATCTGCTTTAAGCTAACCCTTTGAGACCAAAATTCTGTGCTCCTTCTGTCTGGATTTACTCGAAACCGCGCAAACTGCTAACGAGAAAAATGTTTCGTTCGAATTGAAAAGAATTGAATATGTATATTTGTTAAACCATGTTAGAAATATTCGCCACGAGTCCGACGCGATATTGTGAGGCAAGGGGTTGAACTACGCTGGCTTGGGGTGGAAGGAATAGGAACGAATGAGATTCTCCTCATTCTGATTTCATAGTTGGCCTCAGTAATAGAAATGTATACTTCCATGCGATGGAAAGTGTATTTCGTTGATTATCGAGGGTTGCAAAACTGAGCGGTGGATGAAGGGCGGAGAACGTAGATAGAGAAATAGATGAGACGATGGAGAATTGATTTTCCTAGCAAATGTTATGGAAAGCTACACTTTGGAGATTTTGTGTATTTCTTCGTGTGCGTTCTGTGGAATTTTGCACTTCCAAATTTTCTATAATTGCATTAAATTCGAAGTCTGTTTACAAGTTTTTCTGTAGTAGATGCATGGATGTTTTTGATACCCTTGGTAATAAATATCTAATTCCTCATCGAGGATAAAAAATATTTTGAATAGCAAAGTAAATACGATAACAATTGTCATGCATAAGTAAAAATATTGATATCAACACGAATATATTTGTTACTTCATAAAGTATACAATATGAAAAATTTCAACGTTAAGTTTATTGAGGAATGGAATTCAATTCTGTGACGTGTTCATACAATTGCGTCTCAAGCGAAGCAAATTCAATAGATAATTTAATTTAATTTCTGTATAGAATTGTCTATTTTAAGGGTTGGCGAATTCTCATTCTTAAAAACTGGAAATTATTGTAGTTTCGTAAATCAATACAGAACAAGTATAATATTCACCAACAGTAAATTATTCTGAAATCAAGATCAAACCAAAAAATTACAAGCATGTTACAATGATGATTTTGTAAAATTTCATTTGAAAAATGTTAAGACTACGATTCATTTGAAAAATATTCTAATATCATCAAATCGAAGTCTCGCAAGGTTTCGTGCGAAGAATACTATAATAGACAAAAATCGGCGTTTCGCAAGGTTTCGTTTGAAAAATATTATAATACAAGCGCGCAATTGTACAGCAACGTTCCCCATAAGAAACCTCCCGCGGAACGGAATCTTTCCTCGAGTATCTCGAATTGCGCCTCGACAACCATAGTGGTGCATCGCGTCGTTCCGAATACAGTTCGCGATGCGCCGCATACTGCATTTGGATGACATCGAACAAGTACACCGAAACTCGTTCGCGTGTCCCTTTGGGAGGCCGCAGAACGTGTAATGGCTCCTAAAGAGCATATAAATCGTCGATCCCGAAGTTTCTTCACGAAGTCGCGGGGCACCGTGCAAGAAAACACGTCGTGTTTTGTCGTATTTAATTTCCTTTCGGTGCATTTGATATTCGAACGAAACAATCTTGAACCGCGTTTCTACACTAAAATTAAACTACACCAACGGGCCGAACTGTAAATGCGACGCTTTCAATCCCCATAAGAATCCCGACGGTTTCGAAAATTTCGTTGAATACTTCCGAACAGAGAAGAACCTCTTACGAGCTCCTTGTTTCTGTATAAACAAATCATGTATTATGTTATTTCTCTACACTCTTATGTAGAAGATTTATATTATATTATATTCTACTCTTCTTTACAGTTGTTTATAATGTTTCACAATTTCATCAAATAATTTACAAAATTCCAACTTACAATATGTCCCTACGATCCTGAATAACGTATGATATTTCTTTACACTCTCATATAGAACATTTATATTATATTCTACTATTCTTTACAGTTATTCATAATATTTCACAATTTCCTCAAATAATTTACAAAATTAGAAGTTACAAATTTTGTCCCTACGATCCTGAATGACCTATGTTATTTCCTTACACTCTCATATAGAACATTTTTATATTATATTATATTATATTATATTCCACTCTTTTTTAAAAATAATTTACAAAATTACAATTTTGTCCCTACAATCCTGAATGACATATGTTATTTCTTTACACTCTCATATAGAAAATTTATATCATACTCTACTCTTCTTGACAGTTGTTCATATTTCAAAATTTCCTCAAATAATCTACAAAATTCCAAGTTCCAATTTTGTGCCTACGATCCCGAATGACACGGTCAGAATCGTACTGAAAGAATGGACGTTCGCGCGACAATTCACCGTGACTCGACCGGCGACTGTCCCACATAATTATGCTCCTAGCGAAATGCGACGTTAATGAAGAGTCGTCCGACGAGAATCGAGTCGCGGGAGACCGACCGGGCAGAGCCCATTAAAATGATTATCGAGGTTCTTTACATTACGCAAAATTAATATCGCGGTCGTGTATCGCTTCTTATTATTGATCGGCGAGGGTTGTGAATCATGCGTCGGTGGTGGACGAACACGGACACGGTCGCACGGCTGCGGCGCACAATATTCCGCGGTGGCCGCGCGTTCATACGCGATTCCACGCATGTACCCATGCATCCACCATGAAAAGAGACACGCCTATGTCGACGGTATTGTCAGGACTGGCGCCCATGCGACAATTAGTCGAGGAGTAAAAACCGAGGCTCTGTGAACACAGGTGCGCCTGGCGCGATCGTCTCTCTCGGCCGGCGACGACGATCCGTGCGGGCTTCTCGAAACCGATTACAATTACGAATTCTGATTTCGATGGCCGAACCGACGCTCTCGGAGCGTTGTTCGACGGGAAGGTCTGCTTCTGTGAAGAGTTCTTTTAATTTTTACTTTTTATTTTGTAGACGTTTGATCAGCTTTGGGAATTGGGTGAATGCTCTTGAACTGTTCGTTTGAAACGAACACTTTTTCAAATGGTTGTTCTAGTTTTTACTTTTTGTTTTTTAGAAATTTGATTAGCTTTGGGAATTGATGGGTGAATGATCTTGAACTGTTGTTCGTTTGAAACGACCATTTTTTCAAAAGGTTATTCTAGTTTTTCCTATTTTGCAGAAATTTGATTAGCTTTGGAAATTGGGTGAATGCTCTTGAACTGTTCGTTTGAAACGACCATTTTTTTAAAAGGTTATTCTAGTTTTTCCTTTTCTCTTGAAGTACTGTTCGTTTGGAGCGACCACTTTTTGAAAAGGTTATTCTAGTTTTTCCTTTTTATTTTGCAGAAATTTGAATAGCTTTGAGAATTGATGGGTGAACCAATGAACTGTTGTTCGTTTGAAACGACTAATTTTTCGAAAGGTTATTCTAGTTTTTCCTTTTTATTTTGAAGTACTGTTTCTGATTTTCTGGTTTCCTTCCCTTAGTTTAGGAGAAATTTGACTAATTTAGCGATGATAGGTAAAGCAATAATCTTGAAGGATATCTTTTCTACCTTTTGCGAAAGGTCCTAGTTTTTAACAGGTTAATAACATACCCATAACGAAACATAAACATTTACACGCGTGAAATATTCCGCAACTATCGCACATACTAGTCATCGTTCATGTTCCAAGACGATCGAACTGATCCCAACAAATTCTCATTCCGTTCCAGTGTAAACAGTGCGGGAAGGCTTTCAAGCGTTCGAGCACCCTCAGCACTCACCTCTTGATCCATTCCGACACCAGACCGTACCCGTGCCAGTACTGCGGCAAGAGGTTTCACCAGAAGTCGGACATGAAGAAGCACACGTACATTCACACAGGTGAGTCTCAACAAGCAAATGAAACAAAAAATGGGGAAGAACGCGAACGAAAAAAAGTCTCAATCAGCGAAAGAAACCAAAAATAGGGTAAAACGCGAACGAAAAAAAGTCT